GCTCTGGTTCACACTGTCTGTTGCTTGATACAGGTTCTTCAGATGGCTGTACGCGAGCTCCGCCGAGTTGCCGAAGGTCCGGTAAGAGCGAATGTTCTGCTGCTGAGTTGGTGTCACATTCCTCAATAGGATTGTATACGCCATCATTGATTGATACGTATACTGCTGCTTTTCATATTGTGTCCCGTTGGCTGGATACTGCAGGGACCCGTCGAAGAAGCCGAGTATCTGCGCGCCCTCCATCATCAGCTCGAATTCAAAGGACCAGGTAAAGAAGTCTTTGCCGTCGAAGGGTCTTGACGTTTGCAGTTTTAAGACGTGTGCAAACTGCGACTGAACTTGAAGTGCGTCCAGTGGTCTTTCTTGTCCAGGTGAAGGTTGCGGGTGGGGCACGAAGCTGATTGACCCGCGCTCGTACGGAGCAAAGGTAGGTTGCTGCTGCTGGTTTCCTCGCGCATATGACGACCCATCAAGACTCATGGGTGTCGCTCCGTTGTTGCTGTTGTGTGTTTGTGCAGGTCCCGACTGCTGGTGTTGTTCGTAGAAGGACATGAAGGAGAAAAATTTCTCCATCATGTTCTGGTCAAAGTCCGAAGGGTGGTTCATGGGGGTCTCGGTTGACGTTCCTCTTGGTCTTGTTGCCGTGCCTTCTTCTGTCTGCAGGCCAGAGGCTGACGGTGGAGTAGGAGTAGTGCCCGAGGAGCCATTAGGGGAGCTCCTTTCCTTGTTTGTTGCCATGTCTTGTAATGATATTGAAAAAAAAGTAGAATTTCCCTTGTCTGCTCTCATACCATGTTGAGCTGAGATAGCCCCTTAGGATCTTTGCAAGGGATAACTCTAGGTGAAGTAGTTGTAACAGCGGAAGCGTTTAGTGAAGAATTTGAACCGACCTTGCACTGGTGTGTGAGAGCAAAGTTGATTGAATTAAACAAGCAAATACAAGGATTTATATAAGAGTACAGGGAATAGATAACTGTATTGCTGTTGCGGTTCGATATAGCGCGACTCGGGCAACTGCTCTGTAACGAGTCAGTTGTGTGTCCTTAACTGTCGCGCTGTAATTGTCGAGTCAAAGGTCAGCGACCTTTGACTTTCTCGTAACCTCCAGGCGGTTACCCTAACCTCCGAGGTTGACTCGATGCTTCGATTGGGACTGCTTCGCTTGGTACCTTGGATTTTGATACGACAGAAGCGCACTTAGGACTTATTGTTTCCAACATTTTCAAGGGGTGCGCTTATAATCGAGGAGGGGATATAAGCGCCATATGCCAATTAGAAGCACCAGGCGCTTATCCTAGGGTGGCGCTTATATCCGGGGGGAGACGGTAATGCTTTTCTGGAAAATGTGCACCCATAATGGAGGGGGAACATTTTCCCCGGAATCAGGGAGGCTTAAAATGAATCGTCAGCCGTGCTATTTCCCCCTTTTTCTACCCTTTCCTCATATCCAACTACTTCCGACAAAAAAATGTTGGGTTGGATGCTACCATGGGATGTGAGGTTTTCATCTACCCATCTTGACATTCGAAAACTCGAACTTGCCCCACTGTTTTTTTTTTTTTTTTTTTTTTTTTTTTTTTTTTTTTTTTTTTTGCCTATCCATTTTGATATTCGTGAACCCATCTCAACGGTGTCTTGCTAAGCTGACCCATGCCCAGGTTTTATAGGACGGTCGCGACAAGTTAGGGCGCTTCACCTGTCGGTTCGAACAACACACTCGTTCGAACAGGCGAAACGTTACTAGTTTCGCCTATGTTCGTAGTGGTTTTCGTGACGTCGCGAAGCACAATTTCGCCAATTTGAACAGAGCTGTCACCTCAAGCACGATTTTCATCATCCCGCACGTTCGAACACGTTTGTTCGAACAGGTTGGGATAGGTGACACACAATTCCGCACAAACGACTGATATGATTGGTCCACAGTCTTCCGGGTCGCCCATGAACGTTTGCGACCCGGCGAGACGTCGCCAATGTTTGGGACCCAATGCTTGGCGACGTCGCTCTTTTGTGGGCGACGTCGCTGTGTTCGAACAGACCGCGTGTGCGAATAGCGATGGCGTCACCTGTGATGGCCTGTGTCACATTCGCTCATTGTACGTATTTGTGTTCGAACTCATTTGGGATACTGTTCGTACAGTCAAACTGATACGTCGGTTCGGATTTTGGCCTTCCGCCCCTCAGGTGAAGCGCCCTTATTGACGGATTTCTGGGCTCAACACAGACTCCCCAGTGTCTGTGAACAGTGCCCTACATGATTGAATCAGATGCGCAATAAGGAATTTGGAAAATTCCTTACAGCTGTATTTTTCATACGTATGAATTTCGTAGTGTTCAGATTTTTATCAAAGTTAAAGTGTCCTCTCACATTCCTCTCTGTTGAAAGCCGTCGAATCTGGACACGTGTGCTGACTCGCTCTGCAGCACACAGACGCTCTGCTGGCTGACCAGAATTTCCCTCGAGCCATTTAGGGTTTCCCAAGCCGTTTCGTCCAGAAACAATGCATTTCACAGTGTCGTGAGTGAGTGAGTGAAGTGCCAGATTCACCCAACCTTCAGCAAGAGCGCTGCGAGCGAGATGACGCGACGGAAGCAACTGCCACGCGCGCCGCAGAAGAGGGGAGGGGAGACGGGTCGGGCGAGGGTTGTGGGGGAGGGAGCACTTACGGGGAGCACTTATGGGGAGCACTTTCGCCAAGTAGCGCATAGAATCAGCTCACGATGACAGCCGGGGAGCAGAGAGGATCGAAACGGGTGGAGGGAGCGGGTGCGGGAAAAGCAGGATGGGTCGGTACGCGTTCCGATGGTGGAGGGGTTTTGCGTAAAATGAGGCAACAACTTTGTTATGTCACGCGACGATTTCTTAGGCGACCTTATCTCGTCGCAGGCCTCGATTGCCATTGCTGCTGCAGCAGCTGCATTTTGTCTGTGAGTCGCGCACCTCCCGGCGCCTGTGGTAGCATCTCAAACGCTGACGTGGCTCGGTAGCGACTTCGCATGACATCGCAACGGTCGCGCAGCGAGAGCGATGGCTGTCGCAGCTTTTGACCTCCCAGCCAGTACTGAGTATAGTACTAGCGTGAGGATTGTACTGTACACGCATACCACTGCTACTACACGTATACAGTAGTCGTGGTCCACGTGTCAGCAGACCGCCAATAGGAGAACTTTTCCGTTTTTCTCGCTCACCCACAAACAACCCACAGGCTCGCCCGCCCGAACCAGAAAGGCTCACTCACTCACTCACTCACTCACTCTTCGCTCGACTGATCAGGCTGATCCGACGAGGCTCATTCATCTTCACAATCACATGCCATGCCAGTAGGTTCCGTCCTCGCGTGCCGCGAAGCGTAGCCTCGCGGCAAATCAGAGACTCGTCGGATCGGAACGGAACCCCCAGCTCAGATAAAGCCCTCCCCGTCTGAACGCGCACAAGCCGCCACGCCATGCCACGCCACTTCCCCTCTCGCCACTTCCCTCCACGCCCCTCTAAGCCCTGTCTCTCTGCCCATGCGCATGTCCCTTTAGTTTCCAGATTCCCGCTCCCGCTTCGCGGAATGATGTCCCGCTAGATCGCTCGCTGCTCCCCTTACGAGCATTAATAGTGTGCGAGCTCCCCTCCCCACTCCTATCCGTAAGGGATAGTCTCGAGGCGCCTCGAGAGCTAGACTCTCCCCCCTCCCTTCTCCCCGTACGAGAACAGCATTTCTAGGGTGCGAGTTCCCCATTCCAATCCGCGAGTCGCGGATTCCGCCCCGTCGACAGGTGCTGTACCCAAGTTGCACGTTCCCGGGTTTCCGGGGAAGGTTCCTCTCTCTCTCCACCGTCGCTTCCGCGCGGACGTGCCCTGGCAGCTGCATTGGCGACAGGCACGCAGTGAGCTCGTCTTTTCACAACCGTTCCGAACCGAAGCCCGTTAGTGTGGTTCGAGGTCACTACTACTAGTTTTTACCTGCTTCTGCTGTGCTCTGCTGTTACCAGTTCGTACCTGCTCACTCCTGGTCTCTCCTCGCGCTGACGTGCCCTGGCAGCTGCATTGGCGACAGGCAGGCACTGAGCTCGTCTTTTCATAACCGTTCCGTTCCGAAGCCCGTTGGTGTGGTCCGCTTCGCTGTGACTACTACTAATTCTGCTGTCCACCATAACCTGCTTCTGCTGTTGAGCGGCCTGCCAGACTACCACCTGTATCATGCGTGCTGGGCCGCACTTGTGGCTGCGTGCACGCCACACATGCTATGCTGCAGTTGTCGCTGCGTAACACGTGACGTGGCACATGCTATGGACTTCTAGTCAGCAGCAGCTAGACTGCTACTACAAGGTTATTCTGCTGCTGCTGCTGCTGCTGCTGCTGCTGCTTGCGTTGCGTGCGCATGCTATGGGTGCTGTAGTAGCTCAGCACCAGTTTATAACTGCTTAGCACGTGCACGCGCTCTGGATCAGCAGCTGGCCATTTAGAAGAATCCGCAGTAACCACTCCTCCAGAATCCACAGTAATCACCCCTCAACTGCATCAACTCATCTGTTCTATTCACGCCATCCCGTGTTGTTTCCAGCGCCCCCCACGCCACCTGCTGCCCCCGCTAGCATAGTAAAGCCCTTATTCCTCCTCTGTCCATCTCCCTCTCTCTCTCTCTCTCTCTCTCTCTCTCTCTCTCTCTCTCTCTCTCTCTCTCTCTCTCTCTCTCTCTCTCTCTCTCTCTCTCTCTCTCTCTCTCTCTCTCTCTCTCTCTCTCTCTCCGCTGCCGCCGCTAGTATACGCTTTTTGTCGGCTGCGGCTACTCAAATCACCCAAACAGACGATGAGGATGGGGATGATGGGGGTGGGGATGCTGGCGCCGCTAATGCTGCTGCTGCTCCTCCTGCTGCTACCCGCCTGTCCTCTTGTGCTCTGCGCCGGAGTTGACTCTATCCGAGGTTCTACAATTGGGGGGAGAACTGCTGCTCGGGAGAATGTGACAGTATCGGACGTGGCAGCGTGGGATGTGACTGGGCCGAATGCGACTATGCCGAATGCCTTAGCGGATGCGCCCCATGAGTCTGTGGAAGCAGCGCAAGCAGGAGGTGTGATCATAACGAGGGGGAGCAAGGCGATTGGGGCTCAGACCCGTGCTGGAGGGAAGGAAGGAGAGGCTTCGAGAGGGCGAGAGGCGGAAGTGACTGTAACGAGCGGAAGAGGCAGGCATGCGGGGCTGTTTGGTCGGTTCCACTCGTTTCTAGCGTCGCCAGCGGTGCAGAGCGGTTCCAGGGCCAGCCAACACAGCATCAGCAGCAACGGTAGCAGCAGCAATGCCATCACCATCACCACTACCACCAGCAGCACCAGCAGCAGCAGCAGTGCGAACAGTAGCAGCAGCAGCAGCAGCAGTGTGTTCACTCATCCGCTGCTTCCCCTGCTGCGAGTGTCGAAGCCCACTGCTGCATGGCTGGGCGATAAGAGATGGCCCGTAAGCTCTCCTTCTCCCCTCCCCTGCTCCCTTCTCCCTCCCCCTCCCCCTCCCCCTCCCCTCACTCATCCGCTGCTTCCCCTGCTGCGAGTGTCGAAGCCCACTGCTGCATGGCTGGGCGATAAAAGATGACCTGTAAACACTCACCCTCCACCTTCCACACTGAATTTCCCTCCCCAGTCCCCTGCCCCTCCCACTCCCCTTATCCCTCCCCCTTCCCCTCTCCCTCTCCCTCCCCCTCCCGTCTCCCTCCCCCTCCCCCTCCCCCTCCCCTCCCCTCCCCCTCTCCGCTCCCCTCCTCTCCTCTCCTTTCCCCTCCCTCTCCCTCTCCCTCCCTCCCTCTCTCTCCTCTCCCTACCACATCAGCCGGTCGTGTTCCATCCTCAGGTCGTGCTAGCTGCGCCGATCCCCCGCGTGTGGGCAGCGCCCGCTAATGCAGGGGCGATGAAGTGTGGGAAGGGTTGCACATGCTCTTTTGCTCCCCCTCCCTTCCATCGCACGTTCATTCCCTTCACCCCTCTCCTCTCGCTCTCCCTATCCCCCGTGTGACCCAAACAGCCGTTTGTGTTCGGTCCCCGGGTCGTGCTAGCCGCTCTCATCTCCCTCGTGGGAGCAGCACTCGCCAATGCAGGGGGCGTTGGGGGAGGTGGCCTATTCGTGCCCATGTTTAATCTGCTGCTGGGATACGACGCCAAGACATCCACCGCCCTTTCCAAATGTGAGTGTGAAGGGATGGCTTTCAAACCAGCCCAGCTCACCCACTCGACTTACTGCTGGGTTGTTTGTGCCCATCTTCAACCTGCTGCTTGGTTGCGTCTTGGAGGTGACTTAAGAAAGACCTATTGTCAACCACGCTGCTGCTTTCCCCCCCACCAGTCCCCCCTGTCCTGTCGCCTCCCTTTTGCCTCCCCTCCTTCTCCCCACCCTCCTTTCCCAGCAATGATAATGGGCGGCGCGATGGCGAGCGTGTGTTTCAACGTGCAGAAGCAAGTTGACTTTTGAGTCGATTCAAAAGTCAACGTGCAGAAGCAGCCCACGATCCAGCACCAGCCCTTGATAGACTACGGCTTGGCACGCCTCACCCTCTGCCCTCACCCTCTGCCCTCACCCCCAATTTTCCTGTTGCTCTACCTGCCCTCCTGTTGCTCTCCCTGCCCTCCTGTTGCTCTCCCTGCCCTCCTGTTGCTCTCCCTGCCCTCCTGTTGCTCTCCCTGCCCTCCTGTTGCTCTCCCTGCCCTCCTGTTGCTCTCCCTGCCCTCCTGTTGCTCTCCCTGCCCTCCTGTTGCTCGCCCTGCCCTCCTGTTGCTCTCCCTGCCCTCCTGTTGCTCTCCCTGCCCTCCTGTTGCTCTCCCTGCCCTCCTGTTGCTCTCCCTGCCCTCCCCCACCAGCGATGATAATGGGCGGCGCGTTGGCAAGTGTGTGCTTCAACGTGCAGCTGAAGCACCCCACGTTCCACCAGCCCTTGATAGACTACGGCTTGGCGCGCCTCATGCAGCCCACGCTGCTGCTGGGCATCAGCGTCGGCGTCACCTGCAACGTGATTTTTCCGCCCTGGCTGATCACAGTCATGCTCTTCCTGCTGCTGCTCTGTGAGTGCTCGTGCTGTGTGAGTTCACAGCAGAGCACTTGTGAACTCATGTTGCTGGTTCGTGTGGCTCTGGTGTGGGTGTGGCTTGGCGCGCCTTATGCAGCTGACGCTGCTGCTGGGGATCAGTGTGGGCGTCACCTGCAACGTCATCTTCCCGCCCTGGCTCATTACGGTCATGCTCTTCCTGCTGCTGCTCTGTGAGTGACCGTGTGAGTGCGCGTGTGAGAGGCCATGTGAGTGTATTTGTTTCTATTGGGTTGTGACAAGTGTCATAAATGCCTCACACGGCTGCTGGGACGACTTTTGAGCCGCCTCAAAGGCCCTCACACTGCTGCTGGGGATCAGTGTGGGCGTCACCTGCAACGTCATCTTCCCGCCCTGGCTCATTACAGTCATGCTCTTCCTGCTGCTTCTGTGTAAGCCCGCGCGAGTGGATTACCGCACTGTACCACACTCCACCCCCCATGCAGTATGACATTCAGGTCAATGGACAAAGGTTTCGCCATGCCGTGTGGATATTACATGCCGCACAGCACACATCACACCATGTTATACCCACTGACAACTCTCATGCGTCATCACCCTATACCGCACCGCACCACATACCACCCCATCCCATGCAGTGATAACGTACAAGGCACTGGACAAGGGCGTGGCCATGTGGATGAAAGAGTCCCATGCAGCATGCATCGCACCACACCGTGCTCACTCACTTACACACCCCATTCTTCCGCCCTTCACCGCACTGAACCCCACCCAACCCCGTGCAGTGATGACATACAAGACGCTGGACAAGGGTGTGGCCATGTGGATGAAGGAGTCCCAGGTGGCACACCAGGTGAGCCAGTCAGAGAGAGTCAACGCTGGTCAATGCGGGTCAATGCAGGTCAACGCAGGTCAGCGTCCTGTACCATGTGGATGAAGGAGTCCCAGGTGGCACACCAGGTGAGTCAGTCAGAGAGTCAACGCAGGTCAGCACAGGTCAACACAGGTCAACACTGCATCAAGTCAAGGCACATCACATTTCTAGGCAGGCAGGTTCGAATCAAAATCCAAATTCCTTACACTCCCCGCCCTCTCATCCCTGTCCTCTGCTCACCATCCCCTCCCCCCCTTCTTCCTCTCTTCTTTGGTCCTTATCCTTCTCTCCCCATCCGCAGCATTCTGCTGTGAGGGCAACCCCTCTCCCTTCCTTCAGCGATTCCTGTAAGTGCTAGTCATGTGCTTATATGTGACAAGGTTAAATGTCATTGCTTTATATGTGACAAGGTTAAATGTCATTGCTTTATATGTGACAAGGTTAGATGTCATTGCTTTATATGTGACAAGGTTAGATGTCATTGCTTTATATGTGACAAGGTTAGATGTCATTGCTTTATATGTGACAAGGTTAGATGTCATTGCTTTATATGTGACAAGGTTAAATGTCATTGCTGCTCGTGTCCCGAGGGGAAGTGTCCGCCGTGGTACTTAGCCTGCCGTGCCGTGGTACTTAGCCTGCCGTGCCGTGGTACTTAGCCTGCCGCGCCGTGGTATGCCAAGGAGTCGAAGGTTAGGAGTCGAAGAACTCGTGCTTGTATCACCAAGAAACCATGTCCTCCCGTCTCTCAGTGTCAACATCTCCCCTCTTCCGCCTTACCCCTCCTGGTTTTCCCCTTCCCTCCCCCCGTGACCCGTCTTCCAGCCAGCACAGAGCCTATCTTCACCTCCCTGTCCCCCTTTCTTTCATGTTCCCCCTGTCCCCCTTTCCCCCCCCCCCTCTCCCCCCCAGCGCCCCCCCGCCCCATCATCCCGCTGCTGCTCCCATCGGACCGAACCACCTCGCTGCCCTCCTCCTGGTCGGACGTGCTCCGCCTCTCCACTTCCGAGCACACCCAATCCCACGCCCATGCTTACTCCCACTCCTCCCCTCCCTCTCCCACTCCCCCCCGAGCACTCTTCTATTGTGAGAGCGTGGGTTAGCCTTTATTTGAGGCGACCTCTCTTGCTCATATTCCTCTCTTCCCCCCTCCCCGCATCCCTCCCCCCAGCACCCCCCCGCCCCATCATCCCGCGGCTGCTCCCATCAGACCGAACCACCTCGCTGCCCTCCTCCTGGTCGGACGTGCTCCGCCTCTCCACTTCCCTGCACGCCCGATCCCACGCCCACTCCGTGCGAGCGCTCTTTGACTGCGAGAGTGTGGGCGAGCCAGCAGATTCCAGCCTCCACGGGGCTGTGGAGTACCAGGGCTTGGCTCGGCACGGCCTGGCTTGGGAAGGCCAGGCTCGGGACGGCTTGGCTCGGGAGGAGGGGGTGTTTGGGTTCGGGAGCGAGACGCACTATGCCGGGCGTCCAGGAGTGGGAATATCACCGGACGACACTGACAGGTCTGGCAATGCCGGGCCGAGCACTGGCAGCACCGGACCTTCAGACCAGGACGAATCCCGGACCACTACTGTCGCTGCTGCCACCACCACTGCTGCCACTGGCGCTGCCACTGCTGCTGACGCTGTTGCTGCCACTGCTGCCAGCACCAGCAACGCAAACAGCAAAGGTCGCAGGATTCTGGGTTCGATTGAGCCGGTGCTTCCGCCTGTGTTTGTGAGCCCTAGTGCTGGAGGGCTGAGTCCCCGGGGGGGTGCCGGAGGGAGTTACAGCCGCGGGAGTGGGAGTGCTGGTCGCATGGTCGGTGGTGGGTTCGGTCTGTCTGCTGCTCTTGCTGCTGCTTCGGCTGTTGCTGCTGGGTTGGAGGATAATGATGATGATGATGGTTTTGGTGGTGGTTTTGGTGCTGGTGATTCTGCTGCTGGTTCAGGGTTTTTCTCAGGTGGAATCAACGGAGGGGTGCGTCTGGACGTGCCGGGGCAGGGGGTAGAGGATGGGGAGTCAGGAGGGGTGGAGAGGGGAGGGGAGGAGGGACGGAAGGAGAAGAAGGAGAAGAAGGGGCAGAGGAGGGCTGGAACGAGGGAGGAAGTGCGAGGGGGAGATGGTGAGAGGCCGCAGCAGGAAGTTTTTGAGTCGACTCAAAAATCGCCTCATCACACGGGAGGGGAGGAGGGACGGAAGGAGAAGAAGAAGGAGAAGAAGAGGGAGGAAGTGCGAGGGAGAGAGGGTGAGAGGCCGCAGCAGGAAGCTTCCTACCCGTCTGCTGTTTCTGCTCCTTCAGGGGTTGACTCAGCGTCTGATTCAGAGTCTCAGGTCCATTCCAAGGTTGCTGCTGCTTCTGGGGGGCTCACCACCCCGCTGCTGCAGCCAGAAGCATCAGGAGCAGGGGCAGGAGGAGGAGGAGGAGGAGAAGCAGGAGGAGGAGGTGGAGGAGGAGGTAGAGGAGGAGGAGGGGGAGGAAGGGGAAGTACGTCGCAGGGGTCTGCAGTACGCACCAAGAGTCTGATGGAGGAGCTTCACTTTGGAGCCCCGCTTGAGGTGAGTTGAGTTGAGCGAAGGTTTGATGTTTCCAAGCCTCACGCCATGCCTGGAGTGAGATCAAAGCTCGGAGGCACGGTGCAGGGGTCTGCCGCAGAGCGCACCAAGAGTCTGATCTGATGGAGGAGCTTCACTTTGGAGCCCCGCTGGAGGTGAGTTGAAGTGTGTTAGTGTGGTGCAGTCAAGTCAAGTCAAGTCAAGCCTTGCAGTGCGCACCAAGAGTCTGATGGAGGAGCTTCACTGCTGGAGGTTAGTTGATCTATCTGCTTGTTGATCTGCACCGGCTGCAGCCGCGCTTACTGGTTGCTCAACGGCCTCTTCATTCCTGTCGACCCTGCTCGCTACCCTCAGGGGCGTGTGGTGTGTGGCGCCCTGACAATCACACCCCCTCTTCGTCCCTGTCCCACCCACTCCTCTCTCCCTCTCCCCCTCACCTTTTCACCAGGCGTCGCTCTTCCAGCTGGTGGACTGGCGGTCAGTGATGGAGCTCCTACTCGTGTGGCTGGTGGTTGAGCATGGTGTGGTGTCTCTACCACAAACGCACCCCTCCATCCCTCTCCCACTCCCCCTCGTCCCTCTCCCACCAGGCGTCGCTCTTCCAGCTGGTGGACTGGCGGTCAGTGCTGGAGCTTCTTCTAGTCTGGGCGGCCTTCCTCGCCCTACAGCTAGCCAAGCAGCACACGCCCGACTGCAGCCGCCCCTACTGGCTGCTCAACGTGCTGCACTCAACTCCTCATCCCCTTTCCCCTCCTGGCTCCACCCCTCGCTCTACCTCTCACTCTCTCCTTACTCCTCCTTCCCTCTGCCCTTTCTTCTTCCCCATTTCCCCTTCCTCCCGTGTCTCGCCCCCACCAGGCATCACTCTTCCAGCTGGTGGACTGGCGGTCAGTGATGGAGCTCCTTCTAGTCTGGGCGGCCTTCCTCGCCCTACAGCTAGCCAAGCAGCACACGCCCGACTGCAGCCGCCCCTACTGGCTGCTCAACGCGCTCCAGATCCCCGTTGCTCTGCTCGCCACCCTCGTGGGCGCGTTCCGCCTCTACAGGCAGAGCCACCCGTCTCCCAGGAGAAACTCCCGAGGCCGTGGTGGTGCTGCTGCTGCTGGTACTGCTGGTGGTGGTGCTGCTGCTGGTGTTGAAGCATCGGAGCAGCAGCAGCAGCAGAGGGACGGTGGCAGCAGCAGCAGGGGAGAGTACCACACAGCGCACTGGGGCATGCAGCAGCTGTGGGGGTATCCGCTGTGTTCCTTCATCGCTGGGGTGATGGGCGGGCTGCTGGGCATAGGAGGCGGCATGGTCATGGGCCCTGTGCTGCTCGAGCTCAACCTGCCTCCTCAGGTGGGTTCAAGTTTTGTCAGGCTGACAGGTGGGGAATTCTTCTGCGTGTGTGCTGCTAAGACATGGGCATAGGAGGCGGCATGGTCATGGGTCCTGTGCTGCTCGAACTCAACCTCCCCCCCCCCAGGTGAGTTGCATCTGTCAGGTTGACAGGGGGATTCTGCTGCTTGCACGATGACTTTTGACTTGACTCAAAAGACAGGGGGGTTGTGCTGCTTGCATGCTGCTCACCAACTCACCAGTCATGTCTCTTCTCTCCCCAACCAACCCCATTCCCCACAACAGGTCACTGCCGCAACATCCACCTTCATGGTGGTGTTCTCCTCGTCGCTCTCCGTGCTCGAGTTCTACCTCCTCGGCCGCATCCCCATCGAGGTCGCGCTCGTCTTTGCTGGAATCGCCATGGTCGCGGCCTTCACCTGCTGCAGCCTTCACCGATCTTTCCATCGAGATGTTCCCTCCTTCACCCCCATTCCCCCATCCGCTTCCCCCCCAACCAACCCCATTCCCCACAACAGGTCACCGCCGCAACAACCACCTTCATGGTGGTGTTCTCCTCGTCGCTCTCCGTGCTCGAGTTCTACCTCCTCGGCCGCATCCCCATCGAGGTTGCCCTCGTCTTTGCCGGAATCGCAATGGTTGCGGCCTTCTCTGGTCTTTCCATTGTACGCGCTATTGTCATGCGCTACGGCAAGCCGTCGGTGATTATTTTCGCGCTCGGGTCGGTTATCGGGCTGAGCGGGATAGTTCTCGGTGCGTATGGCGGCGTGAATACGTACCATGATTGGATGGCTGGCGCGAACATGGGGTTCCGAGATCTCTGCGCTAGAGAGTTTTGAGCGGGCGGAGTTCTGCTGTTACAGAAATCGACTTCATATTCTTTCCTACAGCTATATCACCACTCACTGTTCGCAGTCTGCGTCGTTTGGTATTTTATTGCTATAAAAGCAGGACTGGTTGCTCTTATATTGTGTAGTTGTGCTTGCTCTCCCCAATGCTGGACTGGGCAACCCAATGTGGTCTGCTTAGTAGTAATGTGGCACTGTATTCTCACTTACAAATCTACTGGATTAAAATTGCACATTTTCACAGTGTAAGAAAATACAGGCGTTGAAGTTTGTAGCGTGTACCTGTAAGGAAATTCCCTTTTCCTTACTTCGCGTCCCTGCTCAACGCGTACATCACTGTAGCACCTCAGTCAGCACCGTTACCACTCGCGACCATCGCATCATTCATCATCCCGCCCTTTTCGCACATCGCATCCCGACCTCACGCCTCGGCTGGTAACCCGTGCTCCGGACCTACGCTTCGACACTTTCCCAACCTCAGTCCCAGGCTCGTCGCGCGACCATTACCGTTACCACTGTAGTTTCGCTATATAATGTTCGCTCATGCCTTCGCTCATTGTATTCTTGCCTCGATAGTGCAATTCTCGTTCGTTCACTCAATTGCACTCGTAACACTTGGTATTCAGAGCCTACGATCTCATCTCGGACCGCATCCACACCTTCGCTTCCCACTATCTCAATTTTTGGGGGGGGTAGACGTCTCTCAGCGACACAGCACCGCCGCTCGTAGTGCTCTCTCGAAAGCACGCACGGCCACGACCGAGGCTCTCGCTGAGTTTGCCCGACACCCCCGCCATGGCCGATTTCAATCTCGCCACGTTGACGCAGGAGCAACTCGATCGTCTCGTGCGTCAATTGGAGGATTCGGCGCTCGAAATCGCGACTCTCACGGCGGAACGTGACTCCGCCCGTCAACAGTCAACGGTGAACGTACCGACGACATCACACGCACCAACCAATGCATCTGCACATTCGGAGGAGCCCATCGTCATCTCATCCGGCACACCAACGCAACACAACAGCACGGGACAGCGCTCAGGCGCAGCCAGTGACGGCGCAGCCCAACCGATGCCCGGCATGGGAGGGAACAGGAGCGCATTAAGCCCACGGGAGCCCCGAGAAGCCCGTCGGCACGTGGAGTTTGCGGCGACAAGTGGCGAGAACGCCATGATGGCCCCAATGCCACTCAAGCCGCAACGCCCGCCGTGCTTCGACCCAAGCCAACGCGGCGGCCCGACAGTTCAATCGTGGGTCTTCACGATGAATGTGTTTTTCGACGCCAACTACGTCGAGTCGGACGCCGCCAAGATCCGGTATGCGGTTTCACTACTCAGGGGCCCCGCCATGGACTGGTGGCGAGTCATTGTGACGTCGCCGCGCGCCTACGAGCCACCGTCGCACGAGGAAGGGCCCTCGGGTCCAGCTGTTACCTGGAGTTCGTTCTGCGAAACCGCCCAATACAGCACGTGGGATGCGTGGTGCGCAGGGCTTCGGGCGCGCTTTGAGCCGATCGCGGCCTCGATTTCGGCGCGTCAGAAACTGCGCACTTGGCGCCAGCTCGGGTCAGTTCAAGACTACACCAGCGGGTTTCTCGCACTTTGCGAACAGGTCGGCTACATGCACGAGGCGGAGCGGGTGGACCGTTACGTCGGAGGGCTGAAGCCGGACATCTCGCACGAGATAATGCTACGCGGGCTCTCGAATTTCAACGAGATCCTCGCGCTCGCCGAGAAAATCGACATCCTACGCCGACCGAGACCGGGGTCCTATTACGGACATCGTCCTCGGGGACCGACCGAGCACGCCACTGTACACGCCGTCGCAACGAATGCAGCTGCCGCACCGTTTAAGGGGCGCTGCTTTGCTTGCAACAGGCCGGGCCATCGCAAGAGCGAATGTCTAGAGGAGCTGAGGCGTCGAGGAGCAGAGCAGGGGAAGGAGTCTCGGAGGCAGGGAAACGCCAGCAGTCAGTAGAAGTTGGGCCAACTACTGACGAGACTGCCTGCTCGCCCAACCACACCGACCCTCACCGAGTCACAGTACCGATTCACGCCATCGATCGGGCTCGGATGAATAAGGAGGGTACACCGACGGATTGCCCGGTACTGATCTACGGGAAAATACAGGGAGCAGCAGTGAAGATCTTCATTGACGGAGGAGCAAGCCACAGCTTAGTTAATACCGCAACCGCACGAAAATTACAGTTAACGCTTAACCGATGTTTACCTGAGATAGATGCACGCTTAGTCGACGGCACGCCCCTGGCCATACGGGAAAAGGTGGAACGCGTAAAAGTCCGCTGCGGGGGGAACTTCGGGTTTACACAGGAAATGCTCGCGACGACACTGGATGGGCACGACATTTTATTAGGACGTGATTGGCTGCGACGGTACAACCCACGGATCGACTGGACGACGGGGAGCTGCACAGTGCGAAGTAGTGGTAACTGGGTTGTTCTACCTCGCTGGCAGCCACCCAAATCTTCGACGGTCCAGGTCAACGCCATCACGATGAAACGGGCTGTCGCTGCTGGAGCTGACGTGTACGCAGTGGATATCGCACTCGTAGAAAAAGATGAGCAGCCGAGTGATTTGGAGAAACTGCTGGCAACTGTACCGACCGAACTACAGGCACTACTGAAACAGTTCCCGGGGATATTTCCGGATGATTTACCACAGGGACTGCCACCTCAACGGGCGCACGACCATAGGATCGAGTTAGAACCGGGGGCACAACCAACTGTACAGCGGCAATTTCGACTGACACAGCCCGAGCTCGACGAGTTAAGGAAGCAGTTAGATTACCTGTTAGAGAAGCAGTTTATCCGACCGAGCTCGTCACCGTTCGCCGCACCGATACTGTTCACACCGAAAAAAGACGGAGGGTTCCGCATGTGCATCGACTACCGAGCGCTTAATAGGGTAACAGTCAAATCGCGATACCCCATCCCCCGCGCCGACGAACTGATCAACCAACTGCGAACAGCACGAGTCTTTTCGAAAATAGATTTACGGGGAGGTTACCATCAGATTCGGGTCGAACCATCGGACTGCGCCAAAACAACATTTAGGACTAGGTACGGATCATTCGAGTATACAGTAATGCCATTCGGGCTGACGAACGCGCCTGCGACATTTCAGATGACCATGAACGAGGCGTTTAGACCACTTTTAGATAAATGCGTGATAGTTTACCTGGACGATATTCTAGTTTACAGCCGGGATAAGCAGCAACACTTAGTGGATCTTGAAGCAGTTTTTAAGGTTTTGGAGGAACATCGGCTACTCACCAAGGGCTCCAAGTGCGAGTTTTTTCGGGACAGGCTAGAGTTTTTGGGTCACGTCATTTCGGAGGCTGGGGTTGAGATTGACCCAAAGAAGCTGGATACGGTAAAAGCGTGGCGCCCCCCAACAAACATCACGGAACTGCAGAGTTTTTTAGGTTTTGTTAATTACGTTCGACGGTTCGTGCCCGACATGGCACGTTTAACAGCACCACTCACTGATTTACTGCGTAAGGGGGTCGCTTTTACGTGGGGGGAGAAAGAGCATGCTGCCTTCTTTGCCCTGAAAAACGTTCTCTGTTCACCACCTGTTCTACGCATCGCTGATCCCAACCGCCCTTTCGAAGTGGTTACCGACGCAAGTGACATCGCCATCGGAGCTGTACTGTTACAGGACTTCGGCGATGGCCTCCAACCCATCGCCTACGAATCACGCAAACTACATCCGCCTGAGCGAAATTACCCGATACACGACCGCGAAATGCTCGCGATCGTGCACGCATTCAAAGTGTGGCGCTCCTACTTGACCGGCGCAGATGTGACAGTACGGACAGACCATCGATCTCTACAGTACCTCCGTGCACAGCCCCACCTCAACCCACGACAGATTCGATGGCTCGATTTCCTCGAGTCGAATTTTCACTATACGGTCACATACAAAAAAGGAGCCTCGAATATCGCCGATGCACTGACCCGCCCCACTGCCCAAATCCACGCGATACTACTCGCCCAGACCAGCCCGCTACTGACAGGCCTATTTACCCACGGATATCATGTCAGAATCCCAACCACTAGACCATTGGGATAAAAGGGCTTATTTCAGTAGCGGGTCAGTGCGCCCATAACCCCCCAGGCGAACGCGCCTGTAACCCTCTCCAGGATCAATCGGGCATCCACAGTGCAGATCTACTGACACCCCCCCACACTGGGAGGCCCAGGACTAAGCACAACGGCAACGGCCTACATGTGCATACACCGGGAATCGAACCCGAGACCGCTCTGATACCATGTCAGAATCCCAACCACTAGACCATTGGGATAAAAGGGCTTGTTTCAGTAGCGGGTCAGTGCGCCCATAACCCCCCAGGCGAACGCGCCTGTAACCCTCTCCAGGATCAATCGGGCATCCACAGTGCAGATCTACTGACATATCAAACAGACCCGTTCTTTACAGGAGGCAACTCACAGCAATTCGCAGCGGCAAAAGGAGTCTATTACGTAAAAGCTGGAACCGACCGCATCTGGGTACCAGGATACACGCTACTGCGGGAACTACTGTTACAGGAAGCACACGACGGAGTTACCTCGGGACATTTCGGGGTAGAAAAAACACGGCAGCAGCTGCAGCGGTACTACTACTGGCCAGAAATGTTGACTGATGTGCAACGACACGTGGCATCGTGCCCCACTTGCCAGCTCATGAAGTCAAGCAGGAAGCGGCCGGCGGGACAATTACAACCCATCCCGCCCCCAGAGCGTGCTTCGCAGCAGGTGACGATGGATTTCGTCACGGGGTTACCAGCTGGGGCGAGTGGGAATGACGCGATCCTGGTCGTCGTCGATCGACTAACGAAGATGGCTCATTTCGCAGCATGCAGGAAATCAATCACAGCCGAGGAAACCGCCCGACTCTTCATCACCACCGTCGTTCGACTGCACGGGATACCCGCATCGATCATCAGCGACAGGGACACGAAATTTACAAGCA